AAGAGAAAATATTGATATAATTCTTAATCACAATTTGAGTGTGTGATATTTAAAACACCTGCATTCTTAATTCTCCTATTTTTAGTTTATAAACTTCAGTGATATAGCAATTACATTGTCTGAATTAACCAAGGAACTATATACATACAATTTCAACATATGTAACTTCTCCCTGTAGTGAAAATCAATAAATCTTACAACCCACAACAGAAGCCCTGCTCATCTATCCTTAACTTTTCAAAACTACATGCTCTTATTTGAGATGCATGTTCATAACCAATAGAAAGAGCTTATTTTCAACTTCAACCTTTCAATGGTCCTTTTGAAATTGGCATCAACAAATGTGAGAATAGTAGAGGATTAGATTAGTTACATGTTGGTATGCAAGTTAATGCTCATAGTATTTAGTGAATTTTTTACCTTAAATAACTTAGCATGTACTTTTAAGGAAGCTAGTAATGAAGATGTGCAATTTGTATGTAGAGTTTGTAGGTTGGAGGCCAACATAATTAAAATAGAGGCAGTAGATAAAGAGAAGTGTAAATTGTGGAAAATGATAGCAGGACTTCAGGAACAGCTTTAGCTTTTACATTCAAGGTATACATCAGCTAACAATAAACTTTCAGGAAGTTATCAAAAGTACTATTAGGGCTAAAAGTAGTGAATTTAATTGTAATGAGCCTATTGTATTGAGCAACAAATTTCAGCCCTTGGATTCTGCAGATGAGGAACTACTGGATGGAAGGAAAACAAAAGGGATAGAAAAGGATATGAATGACAAGGAAGTTACTTATAGTTATAAGTGATTCCTTGATAAGGCATGTGGATAGGATAGTCTGTGTGGTAAATAGGGAGAAAAGAATTAGTTTATGCTACTTAGGAGCACAGGTGGATGATATAACTGACAGAGCAATAGATATAATAAAGGGAGCTAACAGAGATGCAGTTTTTGTTGTGCACATAGGGGCTAATGATGTAGGGAAAGGTAGGTCAGAGGAGCTAATTAATAAGTACAAGTGGTTCATAAAGGCATTTAAAGAAAATTCCATAACTTAATTTTGTCAGGGATACTGCCCAGAATTAACTGTGGAGATGGAGATATAAGTAGGTCACCAGGGCTAAATGTTAGGCTTAGGTTAGCATGTAAGGATGAGCATATCAACTGTTTGGACTTATAGAATCAGTTCAGTGGAAGAGAGGAGTTTTTTGGAATGGATGGTTTACATTTAAATAGGATAGGAGCTGGCTTGTTTGCTAAGGCTACTAACTCAGCTGTAAGGAAAGTTTTAAACATGGACTAGACAGTGGTGAGGACCAAGATAAACCAAATGCAAAACGAATAAGATGTAGAGAAAAGTTTAGCATAGCAAATGAGTATAGAGGTAATTATAAGGATAGGCTTAATTGTTACTATTGTAATGCTAGAAGTATAAGAAATAAAACAGATTAATTTAGAGCACTGATAAAAATGGAGGATTTTGATATCAAGAGAATAACTGAAGCATGGTTAAATGTAGATGATTTTGACGACAGAAGTTTCTTTGAAATACAGGATTACAGGCTATTTAACTTTTTCAGCATGGACTCGGTCCCTGGGACCAATCTCGTAACCATTTTGTGCTTGTTATAGTTTATGCTCTAACTTTTAAATTAGCAAGCAAATGTTAACGAAATTTGGCAGTTTATCAGTAAACATTACAATGGTTTCATACGAAAAATATCTATTTTTTTTTTATTAAGTCTTAAGGTTTGTAAAGCAATGTTTCTCTCATGCCTTTTTTTCTTTTTGCATGTTGCCTATCTGTCATGCAAAGTAATATTCATTTTAAGATGAAAAATACTTTTATGTATCAGAAAATTTCGAAATTTCACATGTGAGATCTTTATAATGTCAAAATAATTATCAAACGTTTCTTAAGAAATACTTTATATTTTATCAATTATTTTCAGTAATTAATCTCTGTACGGGTTCGGTAAATTTGACCGATCTCGCAACCAGCATAAAATATTAGGAAATAATTATAAATTATGCCTCTTTCATTCTAGAATGAGCACAAATTATAGCACAAAAACATAAGTGTTTAAACTAAATAGCTTAAAAATCTCAT